CCCGCCCGGGATGACTCGTCGGGCTCCCGGTCGCCCAGGTCCTGGTAGCGAGCTCTCTGAGATGCTCGGTTCGTTCGGTCGGCAGGAAGAGCCCCCCAGTTGCGACTTCGTTTATGTTAGGAGACCAACGGGCATAGATCCCGTCTAGTTGGAGCGCCAAACAAGCGCTGTTGCGTGCCGGCCGTCGTTTCCCGTGCGGCCTGACCCGGGGGCGGAGTGCATGAGACTAACCAGCCGTATGCACCCGCCCCCCGCGCTGTGTTTCGGCCCTGGGCCCCCGGCTTTTCAGCCCACAGTGTAATCAACGTCATACATACATACATACATATATATACATATATACATACATATATACATACATATATATACATACATACATACATACATACATACATACATACATACATACATACATACATACATACATACATACATACGGCCCTTTCAGGATGCGATCGTGTCCAAGCTCAAATGTTGTCCCCAAGTGGGTTACGCCCGACTGGCGGAACATGCGCTGGTGAGTGAAGGGGAGGGGGGAGGGGGGGAGGGGGAGCAGAGGGAAGGTTCTGACCCTCATGAAGTCGACCAGTCTGTCTGTCTGTCTGTCTGCCAGCAAGCCAGCAGGCCAGGTGGTAGGCGAACGGCTACCTAAACGGAATGTCCATTGTGCCGCCGTCTCGTCCCGATGTTCAGACTGTTAAGGCGACATGATGACACCCCGCCGTGTCACCCCTCCATCTCCCCCCCCCCATCTTACCCCTCTCCCCCTTTTCCTGACCCCTCTTCCCCGGCGGCAAACTTTATTCCGGCTTCACGTCAGCAGTTTTTTACTACTTTTCCCCCGCCTCTATACCTACCTTTTCTCTTTTACGGCTTGGCTTTACTGCTTTTCTCTCGCGCTTATTTTAGTCTTGGCGGCTAGGTAGGTAGTTTTTCCGACATCTTCTTCACAACGTCATCCCCCGAGGTCGCCGCACTTCAAGAACGCCTTTTGGTCAGTTCTACTCTTGGTACACTCTTGCCCTGGCAGCAGCTTCACTCGTTTGTGGTTCGTCTTTCCCCCCTCTCCCCCCCTCTCTCTTTCCCCCTCCCCCTCTCTTCTCAGGAGGTGGGTCGTCGCCATCTGGCTCTGAGGCTGTTGGAGGAGGAGAGGTCAGCGGCCAAGCAGGTGCCCCTGCTGCTCAGACTGGGGGCGGCTACTGCTAGCAGTAGTACGGCAACGGCGGGGGGAAGCAGCCGAGCAGCGGGGAGAGGTGGGTTAGAACTTGGGCAACTAACTCCCAACCACCACCTGACAACCATTAACTACCTGGCTGACCGTCTGTCTGTCTGTCTGTCCGGTCCAACGTTGTCATTATTAGCCGGGCACTAGGTCAGACCCTGGTAATGTGAGTTCGGCCTCACATGCCTCGCAACATGCACATACATACATACATACATACATACATACATACATACATACATACATACATACATACATACATACATACATACATACATGCATACCGGGGGGGGAGAGAGGGTGCACTGCCGGCCCAGTACCCCCAGGTGCCTGTCCTGTTCCTGCCGCAGGGTCTGTTGCCGCTGATGTGGATCGCGAGGGGTGTGTGGAGGGCAGTCGGGACGAGGTGCTTCAGAGGGCGCTGAGGAAGGCGGTGGAGAGCGGGGACCCGGACCTGGTGGGTCGAGGGGGGAGGTGACAGGGGTGGGGGGTGGGGGGGAGGTGACAGGGGTGAAAGACAAACGAGTGACGCTGCTGCTGCCAAGGAAAGAGTGTACAAGGTCGAGGGAGGGGGGGTGGGTTAGGTGGGAGGAGGAGGGTGTCTCGCATGTGGGATGTGTATTGAGGTGTGTGGCTGTAGCTTTGGATGAGCGCATTTTAGGGCGAGGGCTGGGTAAGCAACATACGAAACAGCTGTAGCAGCGGCACCAATGCAGTGCGGTAAGGATCAGATAACTTCAGACGCCGCGGTCTCGACCACGAGCTTGTTTTAAGATACCGGCAAATTCCACCTTTACTTTCCACCACCCCTTCACCCCCCTTCACTCCCCCCTTCAAACCCCCCTTCACCACCCCTTCACCCGCTCAGGTGCACCTGGTGTTGGTGGGTACGTACCGCTCCCGGCCCCTGCCCGAGTTCTGGGCGTTGGTGGCCCCCCGCCACCTCGCCCGGAACCTCTTCATCAAGTACTGCAAGACTAAGGTGGGGCAGGAGGGGGGAGAGGAAGGGGGAGGGGGGAGAGGAAGGGGGAGGGGGGATATGGACGGCAGGGGCGGGCTGGTCGCACTCGGGCCGCACACCTCAATGCCATCCGTTCATGGTGAGTTCCCCCTCCCCCACCACATACATACATACATACATGCATACATACATACTTACATACGTAGAGCTACGACTTCGTAATGCCTTTACCCTATATATCCTCGTACAACACATCTCAGGAGCCGGAGCTTTTGGAAACCATCCTCACAGCGGCCGCTGCGGGAGTGACCACCACTGCCGCCGCCGCCGCCGCCGCCGCTGCCTTTCCCCCCGCCGTCGCTATCTCCGAGCTCGCCTCTTTGCAATTCCGTGCGGCCCTAGTTTCGGAGCGACAGCAGCTGCAGCAGCTGGGGGGAACGGCGGCGGTGGCGGCAAGTCCAGGGGGGGCGGAGGCCGCCGCCGCCAAGCTAGCCACCGCTCTTGCTGACGTGGCGCAAAAGTACGGACAGGTATGGACGTCGTACGAATGCATCAAAACAGCTTGCGAAACCACGATGTGCTCCGCACCGGGACTTCGTCCTCGTCGTTAACTCATTTCCACATTCCTGCCTCGTCCCTTCGTCTGTTCCCTCCGGGGGTGGTGGTTGGCGGCGGATCGTTCGGTGTGTTTTTCTCTTCCCCTCATTCCCCCGACCGACCCACCCCTCCTGGCCCCCTTCCCCCTACCCCCTCCCCACCTCGGTGCCGTACCTCCCACAACCCCCAAAACACACAACCTGCCACCCTCCAGAGTCGCGAGTGTTCCTTTCAGAGCCGGGCGGTGTCCGAGATGAGCTGCCTGCTCCGAGAGCAGGTCCGGTTGGAGCGGGAGACCGGACAGCGGCTGTTCGTGGGGCTGAGTCTGGTGGACACCCTGGGGGCCTTGATAAGGTGGGGGAGGGGGGGAAAACCGGGTTAGTGCTGGGGGCCG